ATAGATGTGTTGTGTACGTTTCGAGTTCGAGTGGATGTATTGTTAGAACTGTCTGTAGAACCAGGGCATCAACGTAATTGGTTGACGCTGTGTTGATGTACCTGCGCCGTTGTCGTTGTATAAATTTTTGGCGGCAAAGTTTATAAATAAATAAATAAATAAATAAATAAATAAAGTATGACGTCACTTGCGAAATGAAAGCAACGTCATACTTACCAAATGCTACCCGAAAATTGGCCAAACCTGCCAAGAGCCAGCCGAGTAAAGATCCTGGGGAAGTGGTATTCTTTGTATTACTATGATGAATATCGCATGTAAAATATTATTAGGCTGACAGCACTTCGAAGTTTTATGCATTATTTTCTTGTTATTATTGTTAAGGTTGCGATTGACTTCACCGCCTCAAATGGCCATCCATCTCAGAATACGTCACTACATTATATCAATCCTTATCAGCCAAACGAATACATGAAAGCCTTGACGGCTGTGGGACAAATTATACAAGATTATGACAGGTACACAGCGGTGGATAGTGTATGGTTCTTTCACCTTTGTGACCGTAGTTTGATTCCTTCAATATACAGTTGTCTGATTATAATTCCACCTCAGTCGATCTGCGAACAGTGCTTCCAATTTGAGTCTTCTAAATACTGTCTGTACGGGGTTTTTCACCCAAATAAACCTCCAGAAAGAACAGTTTGAAACTGATAGAACTAAACAGTATAAATAAAGTTAGTTTAGTTTATGTATTTCCTCCGGGTTTTGTAGACGGAAATTTCGAGTGTGAATTTTGTTCATTTATTAGATCTAACCATAGATATCTTATATAGACTAGATAGCGCATCTCTTTTAGTAAAATTGAAGCCAAGAATATTCCAGCGGTTACCCCCATTTGAATAGATGGCGGCCATGTTGGTGTTTCCCACTCGCTAATAAACGCTTAAAAAACAACAATAACTTTCATCATTTGAATAGTTTAAAAATGTATTTGGAATAGGTTTACCTTAATATTTAAGTTCCGCGTTTAAAAAATAGAAAACATACGAATCTTCTCATTTCATGGGAATATCCCGAGTCTGCAATCACGGCTTCAATTTTTGAATTGTAGAATAATTAGATGCACTATCTAGTGTATATAAGATATCTATGGATCTAACCAGGAGCACTTGTGAAAAATGCAACTATAAGCCTTATGGTTGGAATTGAACCTGCGGCCTCGAAATCTCCATCTACAAAACCCTTGTACAATTCGTGTAGTTGTTGAATGAAAACAGACGGTTCAGATAAAATATAAAGTTAGTTTAGTACTAGTTAAGGTTTCCTCCTGTAGTGCACTGGACCAGTATGGTCGGTAGATCTCCAGAGACAACAGTGATTTTTGTTTTCAGGGATAATCTTTATCCGTGCTATGGTTTTGGAGCCAAACTTCCACCAACCAATGTGGTAATGGAATTACTGTAATATCTTTTATATGATGTCAATTATGCTCAATGTTTTCCTATGGTTATGCTATGCTTCCGTTGAAATGAATTCTAAGAATAAAATTTAAGTTTAATTCTTTATTTAGGTTTCTCATATGTTTGCATTGAATTTCAATCCGGAGAATCCTTATTGTGCTGGTGAGTTTACGCCCGGATTTAGCTCTGGTTCACACATAATCTTTTTGCCCTCGTTGTAAGTTTGTTTCATAACAAGGTTTTACAGAGTAGTACTTGAGTTAATATAGAGGTTCAGATTTGACTTAATCGGATTTATAATATAGCATTTGTAAATTCTGAACGCTGATTGGCTAAGAGCCGTGTTGATATAACTCAATGTCAACACACGGAAACGTCGGAAAATTTCTTTCTTTATATTTCTTTGTGCTATATTATAAAACAAATATAAAACATTTTTTCCGTATTGATATATAGTTATATCAACACTCGTGGAAATTGGGAAAACTCGAAATTGTGTGAAACACTCCGCCCTTTGGGCGTCGTGTTTCCACACAATTTCTCGTTTTCCCAATTTCCACTCGTGTTGATATAACTGTATATCAACACGGAAAATGTTTTATATTTGTTAAATATTAAACGCATCTGATTGGTTGACAGTTCCTTACTGGTAGTGGTAGTGGAAGTCGAACCTGAACCTCTCTAATCGATCAAGGATAGCAGCGCAGCGGAAAGAGCCTGGGAACGACGATCACGTTTGAGATATATTTTTCAGGTAGTTCAGACTCGAACCACAGCAGCTTATTGTAGAGTACTACCCACACACGGGACCTCCACGTTTAAGATATCTTTCTTTGGTAGTTCAGACACAAACTACGGCAGCTTCTTTACTAAAGTTTAACTGTGATGCTATTTTTACTAGGTATCCAAGGCATAGTCCAAGCCTATCAATCCTGTCTACCTAATATCACGCTGTATGGTCCGACCAATGTCTCGCCCGTAGTTAATCATGTGTCCTCGTTTGCTAGACAAGCTGTATGTGCTGAAGTACGTCCTATTTCTGAACAGGTCATTCTGAGTTTGCGATATTTTCACAATGTTTAGTAGCGTCAATATCACATAGTGGGGCAGTGGTTGGTGCCTTTTGCCTCTATGACTTAGGTTCGATTATTGCAGTATGCAGTGGTTTGACTATAATCTGGTCTCAGTCGCATGTGAGATGAATGCTCTCAGTTTGACAGCATCAAACACCACATGTTTTCTCCGTGTACTTCGGTAGCAACCCGTGATCGATAGAGAACATCCTCGTACCGAGGGCACAGGGTACTTACATACAGAGGTCTCACTTCAGGTTAATTTAGCGTAATGGATTTTTTCAGTCCTCCATGCGATTCTTAGCAAGTGCCCTAAAGAAAGGCCGTCACCCCCCATATTGAAATTTAATGTTCCAGGAGGGTGAATGCCTCCCTTTCGAGCACTTGCTAAGAACATGGCCTACAGCTATTTTGGTAAAAACTACCTTACGGTTTTCCCGCAGAAGTGAGACCTCTGTATGTAAGTACTCTGTGCCCAGTGTCTTGGCACCAGAGTGTGAGAGAAAATAGCCTGGGCTGGATAAAGGATAGCCCTGAGTGCATGGTTTAGGAACTACTGTTTGGCAACACAGGACCAAGAACAACTGGACCTTTACGGTGAACAGTTCCGAACTGATGAGGCTATCCAGTACACCTAGACCAATAGAGGATGAGCCTTGTTGGACCAGCTATCCAGTGTTACAGAAATTGGAACTAAACAACAACAATTGTGTTATAGAGCTACCATATACTCCTCATTCTAACTGATGGTGTGATATCAGACATGGACCAGACCAAAGCAGCCATTGTTGAAGCATCAGCACTACCAATGTCAATCATTATAGTGGGTGTTGGTGCTGCTGATTTTGATATGATGGAGGAACTCGACTCCGACGACAAACTGTATGTAACTTATTTACTCAACGCCTTATAGACCTCGTCAGCTTCATAAGAAAGTTTCAACCGTGGGATTCAGCATCGGCTGCGGTGTATCCAAATACTGTGGCTATGAAGGTTTCCGGCATACTTCATAGCCACGGTTTTATAGCATTTGATTAGTGAGACACGTTTGGGAGTAAGGCTGCTGTAGTTTCGTGAATGATACCTTGCAGTTGTGTATATAGTACACTGGTTTATGGAATACATCCGTGAATATACAGTATAGCAGTTTTCCATACACTTTGTTACTGTGACTTTCAAAAACTCAATAATTCAGGAGGAAAACACAAAGAAAAATCATAAGCTTGTCGTGGTTTTATATGTGATAAAAAATCATGTTAATTTACATAAACTTTAGCTTTGATTTTTTCAGTTTAGACAAAGTTTATTTTAAAAATTACTTCGCCAATGAACTCGTATAAGATGAGTCGTTTTTGAAGCCATTTAAAGCACTTGTAGTCGTGTTTTAAATAGTACATAAAGTATGGTTGATAGGTTTTTTATTAGAGAGGCATATTTGGGATACTGCAGACGTGTCGGAGGGCACCTTAGATTTCCTCCTTTCTTCGATTATTCTTAGATTCGTGCATTCTTTTAGATTAACGTCGACAAGTGGCAAGACAGCTCAAAGAGATATTGTACAATTTGTTCCATTTAGAAATTTTCAACACGTGAGTACGGGTCCAGTCCTCTGTGAGACGAACACTAAGCCTTACTATAATACTATGTGTTGTGCATGTAATAATGTAATATGTATATAGCTCAGTGGAGAAGAGTGGTTCAAGTTTGACTGCAACAAACACTGCACGTTTTCGTCAAGTTCTCGGGTCTCCCCCTGTTGTAACACTTGAGCAAAAACGGATGATTCTTACTGGACCTCAAGGGAGAATAGTTTAAGAATTGGAAATGGGGAAAGGAGGTGAAATTATAATAAGAACTGCATAGTCTCACATACCGTACCGTTGTACCACCCAGCCTAGACCTAGGCCAATCTCGT